GTTCCGCAGGAAGGCGCTCGTGCTGTGCGCAGGCTATGCGCTCCTGCTGGTGCTCACCATGCTCAACCTTTTGGACTACAAGTGGCACAAGGAGCCAGTGCAGCAGTGCAGCCCCGACGGGCCGCTGGGCGCCGCGGCTGGGGCCTCCGGGGGCGGTTGGGGGCGGCCCGGGTCGCCCCCGGCAGCGCTGCCCCGCGCACACCACCGGCTGGATCTGCGCACCCCGTATCGTTCTCCGGCTAATGCTGTCGCGCCAGGGGCTGTGGGGGTCCCAGCCCCTCCGGGCAATGGCAGCCGGGGCGGCGGGGTCAAGCGACAGCTGGTGTATGTGTTCACCACGTGGCGCTCCGGCTCATCCTTCTTCGGGGAACTCTTCAACCAGAACCCAGAGGTGTTTTTCCTTTATGAACCTGTGTGGCACGTATGGCAAAAACTGTACCCGGGCGATGCCGTTTCCCTGCAGGGAGCGGCTCGGGACATGCTGAGCGCTCTGTATCGGTGCGACCTCTCCGTCTTCCAGTTATACAGCCCCGCGGGCAGCGGGGGGCGCAACCTCACCACTTTGGGCATCTTCGGTGCGGCCACCAACAAGGTTGTCTGTTCCTCGCCTCTCTGCCCAGCTTACCGCAAGGAAGTGGTGGGCTTAGTAGACGACCGAGTGTGCAAGAAGTGTCCTCCCCAGCGCCTGGCCCGCTTTGAGGAGGAGTGCAGAAAGTACCGCACACTGGTCATCAAGGGTGTGCGAGTCTTCGACGTGGCTGTATTGGCACCCCTGCTGCGGGACCCAGCCCTGGACCTCAAGGTCATTCATCTGGTGAGAGATCCCCGGGCCGTGGCCAGCTCCCGCATCCGGTCCCGCCACGGCCTCATCCGTGAGAGCCTACAGGTGGTCCGGAGCCGAGACCCGCGCGCTCACCGCATGCCTTTCCTGGAGGCTGCCGGCCACAAGCTGGGTGCCAAGAAGGAAGGCATGGGCGGCCCGGCAGATTACCACGCTCTGGGCGCCATGGAGGTCATCTGCAATAGCATGGCCAAGACGCTGCAGACGGCCCTGCAGCCCCCGGACTGGCTGCAGGGCCACTACCTTGTGGTACGGTACGAGGACCTGGTGGGAGACCCTGTCAAGACCCTGAGGAGGGTGTACGATTTCGTGGGGCTGCTGGTGAGCCCCGAGATGGAACAGTTTGCCCTGAACATGACCAGTGGCTCGGGCTCCTCCTCCAAGCCCTTCGTGGTGTCCGCCCGCAACGCCACTCAGGCTGCAAATGCCTGGCGGACCGCTCTCACCTTCCAGCAGATCAAACAGGTGGAGGAGTTCTGCTACCAGCCCATGGCCGTGCTGGGCTACGAGCGCGTCAACAGCCCTGAGGAGGTCAAAGACTTCAGTAAGACCCTTCTCCGGAAACCCAGGCTGTGACAGGGCTTGTGGGGGCTCCTAACTCCCCGAGGAGACGCCCACAGGATTGTGACAGGATTGTGGTGTGTGTTTAAACAAAACACAGCCCAGACCCAAACTGAGGAAGCCCACATACTCTATTATATATAAAAATAAGGGCACAGGCTTTTGCTGTCAATGTTTTGAGTCATTGAATTTCAACAACCACCACACCACACACATCCCAGAAAAGGCAAGACTTGAAAGTTGGGACCAGTGGCCCTTAGCTCCCCTCTTCACTTTTCTCTCCTCCGCTTTCTCTCCTTTCACCTTCACTTTTACCTGCCTTCCATTCTGAAGTGGGGTGTTGTTATCAAGTCCCAGTAACTCAAATCTTGTTTACAAACTTTTTGTGGTATCTGTGAACATGTCATCTGGGTGTTGGGGGGTGGGGTGGGATGGAGAAAGGGAAGGTGGTCAAGGAACAACAACAAAGCCCCACTGGGCATGCTCAACCAAGGAGGCATTCATTTAAAGTAGACTTTTGTGTCAAAAGCAAAGGTTACATGTGAGTATTAATAAAGAAGATAATAAATACTCTTCTTTTTATATTTGCCTCCATTACTTTGGGGTTACCCATTCCACAGAGCCTGTGCAGTTCCAGAAAGATGCTCACCCCTGCTCCTCAGTCCCTATTTTCCCAGTTGGTTTCTTGGAAGACAGCTAGGAGGCCTGGGGGTTGTTTTCTCACATCTTAGCCACAGCCTGTGGGGCGCCCATCCCTTAGCCTCCGAGCTTGGGAACCAATCTTCAGATTCTAAAGGCAAAAAACCAAGTAGGGCAGAAGAAAAAAAAAGAAAAATCACATGCTACCTTTTCTGTTCTAATGTGAGAACAGAACAGAAAGGGAAAAAACCCCTTGAGGTTTTGAAGGGATTCAGTTCCGATTACTATCGAGTTAAAAGCTGGTGGATTTTGAAGCAGCAAAGTTGGTTCTGAGGTTGAGTCAGGGAGAGGGAGTCGGGTTTTTCCCCCTAAGTGTCTGATTATAAAAAGTAATTCAACATCTCGGATGATCAAAACAACCTGGAGAAATTGGCCAATGGACACAATCTGTGTGGTTAGAAGGGCGATGAGAGTATAGCTGCTTTTAATGTTTTGCGTTTATTTTTTTCTTCCTTCCTCTGACATGTTACATGAAAGCAGGGAAGTTGCTTTTTCCTTTCTCACCTTCCCGTCCAAATGAATGCAAAATACAATGTAAATTTGTAGTTTTATTGAGATGCCCTTGGGACATGTTGCTTTTCTTTGTCTTGTTTCCTAAACGTAAATTGGCAAGCAAAACTTAACTAGCTGCTGAGAGAATAAGGCTTCAGACCAAGAGCAGCTTTGAGGTGTGCAAATGAATTATGAGGTATTTGTGGGGTATTTTGAGCTTTGGCCCCTGTAGTTCAAATGGTGATGCTGCTGTCCTGAGCCCATTTTGAAGCACTCTGAGCACTCTGCAGAACATGACGTTATGAAAACTTACAGAGGCCAAACAGAAACAAGAGTCAGTGTAGTTCTATATTGTATTAAATATGGTATAACTTCAGTTTCACCATGAGGTTATTTTACTATAATTTATTAATACCTTCTTTAAGGGAGCTCTGGTGGCCTAGTGGCAAGAAGCTGTGATGCAATCCAGAACGCACACGGTTTGAAGCCACAAGATGCTCTGCTGAAGAAGGAGGGACAAGCTCCTCCTGCACCAGTCAGATCTGACTCGATGGTATACAACAATAAATTTAAAAAAAAACACCCTTTCTAAAGGCTACCATGTATAGATGAAATGCTGGATATTTTATTTTATGGAGGAATTAAAAAAAGACATGATGGTAATGATTATATTCAGGAAACATAACACAAACAGCTTCTTTAAAATGCAATTACAGCGTAATATCTAACCATTGGCATGTAAGGATTCCAAAATAAAGCACAGATTAGCTATTCTTAGAAAGTTAGCTGCTTAATTTTTTTAACATTCTAAAATGGTTATTTCTTAATTGAATGAATTAGTTTACTGTATTTATTAAGCTAGATTACAGCTGCCACATGCGGGGCACGTTTTCCTAATCTTTTCATGGCAGCTCCTATCCTGAACTATCTACAGCAGCAGCAGAATATTTGCAAAGGTTTTAAGTCCAGAATACTTTAAAATTAAATGAGCAAAATAAATATTAATGTTGGAGGCGTAGAGATGTAACAGGTTTTAACAGAGAATTAAGATTGCATCTTTAAAAAGCAGTCACACTGAATGAAATAATAATTTAAGGCAAATCTCATGTGGCATTGGAACTCTTACCACATACTCAGTAAAAATCATGCCCAGAGAGGGGAATTTTTAAGTGTCTGTGTTCAGTATTCTCTCAGTATTGTCGAAAGACTTTTTTGTTCAAGTAGAATCATCATGTGTTTGGAGATGGTATGCAAAATAAGGTTAGATACCCGGTAGAATCTTTGTAGCTTGCAGAGAGCATCCCTGGCCCTCTGCTCAGATAAAATTTTAAATCTCAACAGTTCTCTCCTACTGCTGCATGACCAACTTTCCTCCTGTAATTCCCTTGTTTTTTAGCAGTCACATTCTCTGTACTCTGTCACTGCTGGGCTTTGTAATTTGAAAAGGTAAATTGTTGCTCCTGGAGATTTGTCCTTAGCTGCATTCTAGGAAAGTGAGATAGGTAGGGTTCCTGCTGAAGTCTGAAATAGTCATATCAGTGACATTCAGCTTCTGTAGGAAGGCAAAGGAGAGAAGCCGGTTTTGGTGTTAACAAGCTCCTGTCAGCCCCTGGGGTAAGCAGACCTGTACCACAACAAATTGCATGAGAACCTACAACCAGTTCTGAGGCAGCAAAAAATGAAAGAGCCTTTCACATCTCCTGTCCTGGCAATGTATCCATCAGCACGAGGAAATATTCCTTGTACAGAGGAGGTCATCAGAGTGATTATTTTAAAATTCTGAGCAATAGACAGTGTGCCTGACTTACCCCTTTGACTTTTGGAATGCTTTTGTTAATTAGAAAGCTCTGTTGAGAAAACAGTGTCTCCCTGTGCATTTAGTCAACAAATACTACTTTGGAACAAGGCAAGGCACAAGAGCAGGCTGAGTACTTGAGTTTCAGGGAGCTCAGAGCCCTCAAAGACTTCTTTCAGACTGTCTGTGGGTACTTCGCAGGCAGGCACTGGGGCTGGGGCAAATCTGTGCTCTTCTGTGTCCATCACACCGTGAATGCTTGATCACTTAATAAAGAAATGGAATGAAATATGCAGTTCCCACATTTTGAAAATGCCAAGAGAGAAAGAACGGGAGAGTGTGTTGCCTGTTAGGGGAAAGTGCCAGGCTCTCTGGCAGTGTGGCATGGTGGTAGGGAATTGCACTGGCAACCCAAAGAAAGGTAGTTCAAATCCACCAGCAGCTCCCAGGATGGGCATTTTGCACCCATGCACTTTACTGCTTCTGCAAACTTGCTGAAAGGTCAGTTATGGGTCGGCTCCAACTCGATGGCACAACAACAGCTCAAGGAAGTGGACCCCCAACTCAGTGTATATGAGGAGAGAGGGCAGCTGGGGTATCTTTAAGTTGACCATTCACACACCACTCCTGACTTGGAAGCGTAAATCAGAGATTTTTAAATGTGGAGAGATGAAAGTCTCCAATGAGGAATCGGACTTTTAGGATTTGGAAGAATCTGTTCTGGAAAATAATGTATTTGAATTTTGTAAATAAACTAGTCTAATACTAATAATAATTTTAAAAGAATTTGTTTCCCTGAAAGGACAGGGAGGGGTCCTAGCTGACCTGCAGAGACATTGCCGCCAGGTGCGTCTGGGAGGGTTAGGCATGCGTGCAGAGGCTGGGCGTGTTTGCTGACACTGCCAGTGTGCCTTCTGAAGGCTCACCATGTGGATTTCACCAGGCGTGGAAATGGTTACATGCAGGAAGCTTGCTCCATTGTGGATGTTGATGGAGACAATGGCTGCCTGTTTCCCTGTTCTCTGGCTGGCTGTGCCCAGTTATGTCCTGGGTTTCTGTTGTGCTCAGACCACAGTGTGGCAGGGTTATGCTGCTGTCAGTTTGAAATGAATGTGACTCTAGATGAGGCCATTAAATTAATATGGGCCCTGAGCAATGAAATAAAGATCATTTGTGAAACCCTGTCTCTAGAGATGACTTTTTCAAGACCGCAAAGGAAATAAGGTGTGTCTCATCTAGAATCATGGCAGGTAAGGAGAGTGTCACTTTACCATCCCTCCCTGATGTTCTCCCCACCCTAAGCAATACTGTTTGCCCCCACTCCCACCTCTGAATGCAAACTTCACTTCTACCTTGTCACAAAGAGATGTGGGAAAAGCTAGTGTTTTAATCCTTGTTAACAATGCTGGAGAAGAATCTTGAACATACTGTGGACCACCAAGAAAACAAATAGGTGTGTCTTGGAGAAGGTGAAGCCAAGTTTCTCCTTGGAGGCTAGGATTTTGAAACTCTGTTTCATATGCTTTGTGCATGTGGCCAGGAAAGACTGATCTTTGGAGAAGGACATCATTCTCCAAAGGATGGAGGGATGGTGCCGGAGAGGAAGATCCCCGATGATGGTGCAGGAAAGGAAGATCCTGGATGAGATGAACTGATACAGTAAGTGGGGCAATGACAGTTGTTGTGTCGGAATCAGTGAGACTAGCTCAAGACAGGGCAGGCTTCAGACCTTCTGTATGTAGGGTCGCTATAGGTCACAGGCGACTTGACAGCGCATATCAACAACAATGACAATATATTGTTGTGTACCATCAAGTTGGAACTGACTCAAAGCTTGATGCTCCAGTGGGTTTTCAGAGGCAGTTAATCACACAAGAGGAGATTGCCTACCCTTCTCCAGCAGAGCAGCTGGTGAATTTGAAGCATGTGCCTAATGAGGCTATAGAGGGAGGCACACTTTTGACCTGAGATCCTCCAAGAGTGAAAGAACAATTACTATGTCAGAAACGTGACAGTTCTGTGTCAGGAC